CTGATGACGCGACAGCAAACAGAGGTAAGCAAAAATCGAGCATCAAGGATTTACGAAACCCCTCTATAGTTTCCAAAACGGCTGTACTAAGTATCTAGATCTTTTTGTTTCCCTTCTTTTCCCCTCTGTCCATGTCCTCAGGTTTAAAACGTCAGGTGCGTGTCTTACGCTTCAATTATACAATATGTACTTCCTACTACTTGGAACGGGGTTAAACAGCCCTTCAATGTGTAGGCAGTTCACATTTCAAGTTCAAGTTCAAATTTGATCGTAGTTCGAGGTTTACTCAGAGGTGCAGCAGGTAGTCTAAGATTTAGAATGTAGAGCAAGCACCCGATGGCACAAGGTGTGTATCTGCTACTCTTGTGAATCAAAGCCGTGAGTTTACTGTTCGATTCGGGGTCGGGTGATTTAGCCTTAGGATTCCTTTTTCCCTTCTATTTCCGTTCGTCTCTTGGGCTCGATTTTCAGGACGCAAAATACTTGCTTCAGTAGTTATGACAGCTCGGAACGAGGTTAAGAATGCGTGAGCATTTTTGAGTCAAATCGAAGTTCAACTTGACTTTGATGAAGCCAACTCGAGTGCTCAGAAGTGCACCAGGTAGTCTGAGATTGGGCATGCAGAGCAAGCACCTGATGGCACAAGGTGTGCATCTGTTGCTGTTGTGGTTTGCTGACTTTATCTTTCAGCAGAAGTTCCCCGTTCGATTCGGGGTCGGATGATTCTTTCTTTTTTTCAGTTTCCCTTCCTCAGTTTCTCTTTTGGTGTTCAATGGAGACTCGCTTTCACTGGCGATTTAAATCCAACGATTCTAATATAATAGCTATGAGCTAGGAGGCTACAACTGTCAATGGATTTGTGGATGGGGTTGATTTTCAACTTGAAAGCCAGAATGGGATCTCGGAAAGTCAAGCTGTCTGTTAATCTGAAATTGGGGATGCAGAGCAAGCACCTGATGGCACAAGGTGTGCGTCTGCTATTTTTGTGTTGTTCTTCGAAGGCTACGCAGAAGACCCCCGTTCGATTCGGGGTCGGGTGGTGATTAGTTTTCATCTCCTTTTCTCAACTTTTTCCCTAAGTCTCTTCGACTCGATTTTGAGGACGCATAAAATCGGTGATTCAATGAATTCTGGTATTTACAACAGCTCGGAAATTTAAGAATACTTGCGTGCAGAGTTCAGCCAAAGTTCAAGTTGAAACTTTGATCGTGCTTCGAGGTTTACTCCAGAAGTGCCCGAGGTAGTCTGAGATTGGGAGTGCAGGACAAGCACCCGATGACGCAAGGTGTGCATCTGCGGGATTTATGATTTCGCACGACCTCAGGCGGAAGGTCCCCGTTCGATTAGGGGTCGGGTGATAGCCTCGATTGCTGTAGCCTTTTTTTCAGTTTCCCTTCCTCGGTTTCTCTTTTGCTTTCAACGGGAACTCGCTTTCTCTGGGAATTTAAACATAAAGCTTCTAAATAATAGAGGAGCTAAGAGCCTACTAGGAGTCATGGATTTGTGGATTTGTGGGTGGGGTTGATTCGATTTTATGTTGAAGGTCAAATTGACATGAGCAACCCGGGATCAGTCACAGGCGTCTCTGTTAATCTAGTATCGGGGATGTAAAGCAAACACCCGATAGCGCAAGGTGTGCGTGTGCAGTATATTACTAAACGTGTTCGTTCTTTATGCAGAAGTTCCCCGTTCGATTCGGGGTCGGGTGAATGATCTTGTTTGCTGACTTTTTCCCCCAGTTTCCCTTCCTCGGTTTCTCTTTCGTTTCATTCAGTGAGGATTGGAGCAGGTTGGAGCGGCAATGGACCTGGTGGTGAGGAATATGTATTCTGCGAATAAGATCATGCACGCTTGTGTCGAATCTTACCGTTCGTTCCGCGCCGGCAGATCGTACGCTGAAATGTAAGTTTAGCAGGACTTGGAGTTTTGAAAGTGTACCAGACTTCATGCTGGCACACGCGAGATAGACGAAGCTTTTCGAACGCCATGGAAAAAAGACATCGCTCTCCATTAGAAATCGGCGTCCCCGTCCTTCATTTACTGTGACTTCGACTAGCGGGTCTATGTCTATCTTTCCGCTCGCTGCTTGTATCACGAATCCAGTTCACACTTTGCATTGCGGGCATTACAGGCATGAGAAGCGTCCTAATATCTCGTTCCATCCTTCCAAATCCGCCCAGGCGACTCAAGACTTCTCGTACGAGTCGTAAGCGGGGACTGCCGTCTCTGTGGTGGCCATACTCCAGCGCTGGTATTTCTTGTCGGTGGAACCGCGGGGGACGCTGGCGTCGGTATCCCCCAGCGGGTGGTTCCCACTCTGCGCATGAATGGATGCCGGGAAAGCCACCGTGGCCACTTGCGGAGTGCGTTTAGCGACCGCGGGACCGGCCCGCAAGCAACGGAAGGAGAAGTAGACGACGAGCGCGAGCAGGATAGCACCGACGAATGAGCCGACGATGGTGGCGACCAAAGCCGGAACGCTCATGCTCGTGTTGCCGACTTTCGGGACGGGCTGAGATCGCAAATGAGTCAGTAGTACGCCGATTTGGGGGATACTTATGAAGGAAGCGTACCTGCGCTGTGGCCACCGCCGCGAGAAAGATGAGTGCAGTTAACGAGTTTGACATCGAGATTTGAGAGGTGGGGGATCAGGCAAGTGTACAGCTCGTTGCTGGTGCTTCGACGCTTGCTCAACGAGATTAAATAGCCTTCAGCCGCTTAATCAATGTAATGCCGCCAGGAAGGCTGAGATGATTCTTTTGTACCACGTGTCAGTAGCATCATGATCCCGCAGTTGCGCAGTAATATATACGCGGTCATGGGTGGCCGTGTGGGTCTCAGAACCCACGGCGGACTCCTACCTCCTCCAGTGGAATACAATCACCTACCCACGTAACCCCTCTAGTTAGACCTATTGCAGAATTCGAAGTGATACAACAGGTCTAAGTAGAGGTTGATTTAGGTTAGGCCGAGGGTTTCAATAAACACTCGCTAAATCGATAATTACTTGCCTTTTTGAGCCACGAAATAGCACAAAGGTATGGGACGGTTACCATCGCCACGGGCGGGGAAGGAAGGAAGGAAGGAAGGAAGGAATCGAAACACCAATAACTTTTGATCGCCACATCACTTAAATTTCTCTCGAAATTTCGTCTGTACCGTCCTCATAGGTCCTAGTCCATCCCCCGACACCGAAATGATGACTGATGACTTGACGAAGTTACTGTCTGTGTAGACTCACGTGGCCGACTAACTGGGGGCGGCCGACTAACCCCTCACCGATTGGGCCTGTGGGTCTGTAGCTAGTTGATTTGATTTTCAACTACACTTAAAGCTTTGAAGCCAACTTGGGATCTCGCAGAGTATGTCTTAGTCTAAGATTGGGGATGCAGAGCAAGCACCTGATGGCACAAGGTGTGCGTCTGTTATTCTTGTGTTGTTACTGGCAAGCTACGCAGAAGACCCCTGTTCGATTCGGGGTCGGGTGATGCATTCTTCTGCCGTTTTTTTGTTTCTTACCCTCCCTCTGCTTCCTCCCTCCTTTTTGAGATTCTAGAGCGTTGATTCAATTCTGGTATCTATTACTTCGGAGCACCATTAAGGAGTCCCTTCGATATGTGGGCAGTCCACTAGATCAAGTCAAAATTTGAGCATAGTTTGAGTTCAACCATTCCTGAGGAGACCCTGTTAGTCTGAGAATGGGGCTGCAAAAGGGAGTATCTGATGGCACAAAGTGTACGTCTGCTATTCTTATGTTGGTGGACAGTTACGCAGAAGACCCCCGTTCGATTCGGGGTCGGGTAGTGATTGGGTTTCTTAGCTTTTTCTTAACTTTTCCCTAAGTCTCTTAGACTCGATTTTGAGGACGCAGAAAATCGGTGAATCAATTAATTCTGGTATTTACGACAGCTCGGAACAAGGTTAGGAATGCTTGAGCAGTATGTAAGCATTTTGAGTCGAATTGGAGTTCAACAACTAACTGATGAAGAATTGCAGTTCACTCCTGAGGGAGTACTAGTTAGTCTGAGAATGGGATGCAAAGGGAGTACCCGATGGCACAAGGTGTGCGTCTGCTATTCTTGCATTGCTTGTGGACAGCTACGCAGAAGACCCCCGTTCGATTTGGGGTGATTTAGTTTTGGGATTCTTTTTTTCCCTTCTTTTCCGTTCGTCTCTTGGGCTCGGTTTTCAGGACGCAAAATACTTGCTTCAGTATTTACGACAGCTCGAAACGAGGCTAGGAATGCTTGAACAGGTTGTGGGCATTTTGAGTCGAATCGAAGTTCAACTTTAAAATTTGGTCGTGCTTCAAGATTTACTCAGGACTGCACCACATAAGTCGAGATTGGGGGCACAGAACATGCACCTGGTGGTACAAGGTGTGCGTCTGCTACTCTTGGGGACAATCATTTGCAGTTTATGCAGAAGTTCCCCGTTCGATTTGAGGTTGGGTGGTTTGCCCTCTCGTTTGTCTTTTTTTAAGTTTCCCTCACTCTCTTCTGGTTTCGTTGGAGATTGGCTCACTCGCGCTGGGAATTCAAACTCGATGTCTGATATACTTGGTACTTGGAACCAGCTACGAGATGGGTCAGTGGATTTGTGGGTGGGTTTTATTTTATTTTATTGTTGAAGGTTCTGTTAATCTAATATTGGGAGTGCAGAACACGCACCCGATGGCACAAGGTGTGCATCTGCTATTATTGGGGACAATCATTTGCAGTTTATGCAGAAGGGCCCCGTTCGATTCGGGGTCGGGTGATACACTTCGGTGGCCATAGCCTTTTTTTTTTCTTTTTCAGTTTCCCTTCCTCGGTTTCTCTTTTGCTCTCACTGGGAACTCGCTTTCGCTGGCAATTTAAATCCAATGATTCTCAATAATAGAGGAGCCAAGAGCCTAGAAGCGAGTCGTGGATTTGGATTTGTGGCCGGAGTTGATTTGAGTGTTTCAACTTCAAGATCTCATGGATGTCTTAATCTGAGATTGGGGAATGCAGGACATGCACCTGGTGGCACAAGGTGTGTGTCTGCAGTATGTAGTTGATCCAGCTATGTTATGCAGAAGGTCCCTGTTCGATTCAGGGTCAGGTGATGGTCCAAGAGTTCTTTTTTTTTTTCTTTTTTTTTCCCTCCCTCCATTTCCTTCCTGCTTCTCTTAGCTTGCTTTCCGGTCCTAGAGCGGGATTCAGTTCTGGCATTTATAATTATTACAGCTAAGAACGGGGTTAAGAATGCTTGAGCATTTTCAGTTCAATTGAAGTTCAACTGATGAAGAACTGACACTTCTGAGGGAGTACTAGTTAGTCTGAGATTGGATGGCACAAGGTGTGCATCTGCGAGTCTTAGATGAAGTGTAAGGCTAGGCAGAAGATCTTCGTTCGATTCGGGGTCGGGTGATGCTGTAATCTGGTCATTTTTTCTTAACTTTTCCCTGAGTCTCTTGGCTAGCTTTCAGGACGCAAAATCGGCAACTTCCTTAAGCATTTAGTACAGCTAAGAACGAGGGTAATGCTTGGACAGTGTGTGTGAGCATTTTCAGTTCAATCGAAGTTCAACAACTGATGAAGAATTGCGGTTCACTCCTGAGGGAGTGCTAGTTAGTCTGAGATTGGGGATGTAGAGTAAGTACCTGATGGCACAAGGTGTTCTTGGGCTCAGTTTTCAGGATGCAAAATACTTGCTTCAGTATTTATGACAGCTCGGAACGAGGTTAAGAAGACTTGAACAGGGTGTGAGCATTTTTTTCAGTGCGGCCAAAGCTCAACTTAACTTTGAGGAAGCCAATTCAAGTGCTCACAAGTGCACCAGGTAGCTCGAGATTGGGGATTCAGAGCATGCACCCGATGGCACAAGGTGTGCATCTACAGGATGTGAATAAGGGAGTTGTAGATTTATGCAGGAGGTCCCCGTTCGATTCGGGGTCGGGTGATTGCCTTTCCAGTGTGTTTTTTTTTAGTTTCCCTCGCTCTCTTCTGGTTTCGTTGAAGACTCGCTCACTGGCGCTGAGAATTCAAGCCCAAAGATTCCGATAAATTTCGGACGACATAAGAGGCTGCTGGAACTGCCTGGAAGTTTACTTTTATTATCAAGTAAGCTTCAACTCGGGATTCCAGAAGTGTGGCTGTTAATCCGAGATGGGGGGTGCAAAGCAAGCATCTGATGGCACAAGGTGTGCATCTGTTACTCTTGGGCACAGTCGTTTGCAGTCTATGCAGAAGCTCCCCGTTCGATTCGGGGTCGGGTGATCCGCGTCAATTGCCGCACCTTTTTTTTTTAGTTTCCCTTCCTCGGTTTCTCTTTTGCTTTTCAGTCGAGACTTATTTTCGCCGTTCGAATCTAAATAGGTATGAGCTAAGAGCCTAGAAGCGAGTCGTGGATTTGAATTTTTTTCAACTTCAAGATCTCGGAATGGTTGTCTTAGTCTGAGATTGGGGATGCAGAGCAGGCACCCGGTGGCACAAGGTGTGCGTCTGCAGGATGTAGCATGAATGACGGAGTACTTATGCAGAAGTTCCCCGTTCGATTTGGGGTCGGGTGATATGTTGACACATATTGAGTTTTTTGTTCGTCTCTTATTTACTGTAAAATTTGATTTTATCGGTAGGTTAGGAAGCATACAAGGCTACAAGCATGGGCGGTACATTAACGGGAATGCACATAGGTTGGGAGGGTACGTGCATGTGTAGGAGTTGCGCAGTCGTATTCAGTTCCAATAATTAATGATCCAACGGGGGCCTGGGCATATGAAGCAGAGCAACGCGGCGCATTTTGCCCGATGGAGGTGCAGGAGGGGTAGCAACAGAGAGACAATTAGTTGGAGGGTCAGACGCATCTGACTTGAGAGCTGAATTAACAGACATGAGAGGAATTAAGATGGTCGTGGGCAGAGTCGTTCATTAAGTGAATAAATAGGCTGGGCTCGTTATAAACGACTCCGGGATTATACGGAGGGAATGAGTGGGATTGGTGTCAGAGAAAAGGTCGGCCCAGTCGGGAGCATATAACCTGGAGGTACTTGAATTGACGTGGGCAAAATCAGAACAGAGGCAAAAGGTAGATATGGTTATCAGGCAGCCGACCAGTGACGCCAGCGGCTCGGGCGATATCCACAGGCTAGTGGACCACAGCGGAATAAGCAAAGGTGGTTATATGGAATAATATATGCTTCATTAGGACCGGATGCGGGATTTCCCCTCGGGAGAGCGAACAGCGAGCAGCGGCGACACCGGCAGATGGTTGATGAGACCAGCGAAATCTAGGGCGCCCGATGAGGCCAGAGCGGTTGGAGGAACATGGGCGTCGAGTTGAAGAAAGCGGGAACCAGTCTAGTGGCCGGTGCAAATCTCTCCCTTCCTCCGCTACATATTGCTTGCTCGGCGCGCAGATGCATACCCTACTGGCAGCAGTAAACCAAGAAAACCACAAGATAAATACAAGGGAATCCCAGGACTTGTATGGGTAACTCGAAGAGCAGGCGGGTTACACGTGTGGCGTGGTCCTTAAACCGCATTGCAGCAGCAAGTCAAGCGAATTGAGACCCAGGCCCTTCTGCCTCACTGCTTGCCTCCTGCGCTCATGGCGTCCACAGCCCGCGTCCGCCGCAAGCCCGCCCCCGCTGTCGACCCCGACGACGCCGCCCTCCTCGCCGCCGACGATGCCGCCCTCCTCGCCGCCGTCGGCGACGGCGAGCGCATCGCGGCGCTGCTGCCGCGCCACTCGTTCACGCTCTACGCCGCACCGCCGCTCGACCCCGCGCCCACCGCGTACTCGCCCGCCCAATCCCTGCCATCGAGCACGCAGCCCCACTACATCCGCCGCCGCGCGCAGTCCTCCGCCCCGCCGACGCCCGCGACTTCGCCGCCCACGCCGACGCGCACGCGCCTCGCGCGCCTCCTCCTCCCGTACCATGCCCACCCCCCGCCCTCGCCCACGCGCGAGCGCGTAAGAAAACATACGATCTCCGCGCCCACGCCCGCCGTGTTCCCGCCTGCGCTCCTCCCGCCGGGCCTCGTGGCGCTGTCGTTGCCGCCGGGGCGGCCCGTGGCGCTGCGGCCCCTCAGCATGGAAGTGGAGGCGCCGCCGCCCATGGAGAGCTGCTCGAGCGCCTCGTCGCGCGCGTCGGGCGAGATGGACGCGACGTCCCCGCCTGTGTCGCCTTCCTCGCCCCGCGGAAAGCTCCTCAAGCCTGCGCCTTCTTCTAACAACAAAGGCGCAGCAGCCGCAGCTTCGCCGGCTCGCGGGCGCTGTGTGCATCCAATTCTACTGCTCCTGTCCCCAGCTACGATTTCTGAGCGCGGCTCTACGCCGACGTCTGTTCAAAGCTCGTAGACGGACTTATTCATCTCAGATTCACTGCTATTTCGACCTTGAACTCGACCGCCTCTCGCTCCGTCTCCGCTACCGATGTGGCCAACAGCCCCGCCACTTACTGTGAAGCTCTACCTCCGTCTCGAAGTCTATTTCTTCCCCGCCCACCGACTCTACTCCCCGCCCCCGACATATATCGATTCGGTCCCCCGCGGAGGTGAGTCCTCACTCACTGGTCCCCGGCTTAATCACCATGTATTCTCAGACTTCATCAAGTGCCGTTCCCGGAATCAAAAGGGTTTCGAACCAACTGTCAGATGCGGTGCACCCCTCGGGATCCAGCGGTGTTTAGCAGCTCCTGGTTAATTTGAATGTGCACAGGTTTTGAAAGACGAGACGGCGGCTGCTCGTGCGCGCGCGCAGTCTTCATGAGATCGCCTACGGCCGACGCTAGTAGCGCCACAGATTCTGCGGATTCTGCGCAGGTTGAATCTCAGTCTCCGCGTACAGGGTCAACGACTGCTCAAGTTGATGAGCCCCCTGGATCCTGAGTTCCATTGCACAAGCGGTATTTACTTCATGGAATAATTCATTGCTAACTCCGTTGGCACTCATCCAGCATTGAAAATGACTGATGCTCGGATTATTGCTGTTCCTGTCCAAGCATTCCAAGGAGTACACTCTGAGCCTGTCTGACCGACCACACGCTCTCATACTCGTATAGCTTGAAGCAGGCCTCCAGAAAATTTCCGACTGGGATTTCGTAGTCCGCTAATATCGGAAGGTCAACCTTAGCGTTGACTCTTTTAGGCCCGGATTCTATAAGTTCCCGTCAGAGTATCTGCCGCAATGTGCCGCTCGTGCAACACCAACTCTCAATCGTTGCTCCGTTAGGCAATTTCAGAGCCAAGTCCCGCCATTCCCTCTTACATGAGACTGGGAATTTGCTACAGATGACTTGCATTAAGCTTTCTGCAAGCATTCATCAGTCAATATGCAAGCATGGGCCGCTCGCGAAGCACGAACGACGTATGATATCCGCGGACAAGAATTCCTCCAAGTCGGTGCCTAGGCATAGGTTAATACAACACGAAATGTTATTGGTATCGATTAAATTACTGATGGCCATGAGCTCAGTTCGTTGCAAGCTCGGTTGCAAGATGGGATTCTGGTTGAGGTCTTCCCAGAGAGCAACCGCAGCGTCCTCGAGGGGCAACTTCAGCTCTGATATTATACTTGTCATCGGTCAGTGTGCAATAGGTTTCTTACAAGAAGACTAAGCCAATCAAGCGACGGCTGAAATGCATTAGACAAATCAAGTCTTCGCGTTTGAGCCGAGGATTGAGTGTATACTTTTGCCAGCTGGTTTCGACTGCTTGTGTTTCAGGCTCCATTTCTTGTGAAGAATTGCCCCTCATGGACCAGACTACTTATGTGGCCGGGACGAATACAATACTGGTTGCATAGAATCAGCTTATTGTTTCAGAAATCAACGCCTTCTACATAGTGACAAGAGAGCCGGCAAGACCTTTTTGTCAGCTTAGATGCTTAATAAAAGTCTTAAAGGTTCAAAATGAGACAAGGCCTTCTAAATCACAAGTAACAAGGCATTACAAAACCGCTGTGGCCACACTAAACATCGGGGTGAACAATTGCGATCGGCATCAGCCAGGTTTTCCCACGGTTCAAAAACGTACGCCAAACAAATAATGTGGTCACTGCAACCGCGCCTATAGAGTCGTTTCTACAGCAAACAGAAATTTAACTTATTCACTGCCGTCTCCATGACATCCGTCCCTCCCGAATGTTATACTTCCGCAACGTTGTTCTCCTGAAGTTGAATTGGCGAGGAAGTTGTTAAATGTATCTTGAAATTTTGCTTGTTGTGCTAGTAATCTATTTTCTGACCTATATGGGAGGCACAGCTAAGGCACTAGCGACCTGCGCTGCGGCACATATACACAACGACCCCACAAATCTGGGGGGCGGAACCACAGGATGGCCATCGGTTAGGGGGATCGAGTTGAATCACCTGAGCTGCAGAAGCTCGAGCAGAAGAGGACACGGTCGAGACGCGCCGTTTTGGCCTAGATTCGGTCGAATTAGCCATGTCATATGATTGTCGCTGTCCTTCAATGATGCAGATAGGCCGTATCATGCAAGTGTGTTCCGTGCGGCCAGGAGCGCTCGACCCATTGCAACTTGGGAAGTTCGAGCCGGAATAGATCGGGGGCTGGGCTTTCGAGCGACGGGTCAATATAGAGCTGGTCGAGATTCAGGAAAATGGTGGACTGGAGTATGCAGTGGGCGTTCAAGGAAGGGGTGGTCAACGTTGGCCACGCGGAGTTCGGATCAACATCCGGATCTAGTTCAACCACGACTCTCGCCCAACTTCCAACCAAGCCTCTAGCTTGACCATTTGCATCCCTGGAGAAGCCATAGATGGTCGGCAGCCTCGAAAAATTCATCGACAGACTATTTATTGCCAGTGCATTCCAACTTTGATTCCAACTTTCCCCACTGCCCGCCGGCGTACCACAAGATCATGATGAACCCCCATCGACTCGGTCGGGCTCTTATTCCATGCACGTAACCCATAATTTGCCTTGCAGAGCATGCATCTGATGTGTGAGCTGTGTGTCTGCTACTTGTAAAAGGTGTCGAAACATTGATGCAGAAGGGTGCTGTTCGATTCGGGGTTGGGTGGTTTCTTTGTTGAATTCGTTTCTACATCCTTCCCTCGGTTTCTCTTTTCTGATTTTACCTCAATCTCACCGCGGAATTCAAACGAGATGATTCTCGCATATTTAGGAGGAGCCAAGAGATGGGTCAGTGGATTTATGGCCGGAGTTGATTTGATTTTACTATCAAGTTGACTTGAGCTTTTTGATGAAGCCAACTGGGATCTCGGAAAGTATCTCATAGTTTGAAATTGAGGATGCATAGCAAGCACCTGATGGCACAAGATGTGCACCTGCGAGTCTTCGCAAAGTTGCTGATTCTAAGCAGAGGGGCCCTGTTCGATCTGGGGTCGAGTGATTCAATTGTCAGAACATTTTTTCAGTTTCCCTCCCTCGGTTTCTCTTCTACTTTCACTGGAAACTCGTTTTCGCCGGTGAATTCAAAGCCAAGGATTCTGATACAATAGGGACGAGCGAAGGAGCTTAACAGTCCTGATTTGTGGGTCCAGTTGCTTTGATTATTATTACCTTGACTTGTAAAGCCAGATCGAGATCCCGGAAAGGTTGGCGATAGTAAAGGTTACCTATAGTCTGAGATTGAGGATGTGAACCAAGCACCTGGTGTGGATCTACTACATTTGAGTCGGACCAAACAAGATTTAGCAGAAGGACTCCGTTCAATTCGGAGTCAGGTGATTCTGGTTCAACTCTTCTTTTTTTTTCCTCTTTGGAACTCAACCTCAATTTTGGTTACCAATGTAAGACAGAAATTAGGGGGCTATAGACCATGCACCCGATGGCACAAGGTGTGCATCTGCAAGACTTACTCCAGGCACAATGTGTTTCAAGCAGAAGGGCCCCATTCGGGGTCGGGTGATAGCATTGTTCACTGCTTTTTTCTCCTCTTCTCTCATCTCTCTGGCTTCGTTCAATGTGTGCGTCGTGCACTTCAGCTACATGATACTTACTGCCTTGGAACAATGTTAAACAGCCCTTCGATGTGTGGGCAATTCACTCGATTTGAGTCCAGCTCGACATTTTGAGCATGCACCCGATGGCACAAAGTCTGCTATTCCTTAGCGATTTTTAAAAAAAATCTCCGCAGAAGGGCCCCGTTCGATTCGGGGTCGGGTGATTTTCTTCGTCTTGGATTTTCCTAGACTTATTTGTTCCCTTTGACCTCAAATTGTACACAGATAAACTATAAGTGGAGTGCGCAGAGGAAGCACCTGATAGCACAAGGTGTGCGTCTGCGGTATATTGCGTATCCATCCTCTCGCTGTGCAGAAGTTCCCTGTTCGATTCGGGGTCGGGTGATTCTTTCTTTTTTCTGTTTCCCTTCCTCGGTTTCTCTTTGCTTCCACTTGGAATTCATCTTCACTGGCGATTTAAACCCAATGATTCTAATATAATTGGGAGGTGAGCGTAGAAGTGAGTCGTGGATTTGTGGCCGGAGGTGATTTGATTTTATTGTTGAAGGTTAAATTGACTTAAGCAATTTGGGATCAGCCACAAGTGTCTCTGTTAATCTAATATTGGGAGTGCAGAGCAAGCACCCGGTAGCACAAGGTGTGCGTCTGCTATTGTTGTTATCTCCTGTTCGATTCGGGGTCGGGTGATTTGTGCTTTTCGGTGACTTTTTTTCTTCCTCTCCTTTTCCCCCCTTCGTCTCTTACTCTCAGACCCTAGGGCATGCGAGGCGGAATTTAATTCGTATTTATTACCTAGGAACAAGGTTGAGAATGCTTGAGCAGTCCGAGCATTGATATTATTCAGGTCAACCAAGTTGACTTCAGCTTTTGAAAAAGCCAACTTGAGATCTCGGAAAGTCTTTCTTAGTCTGAGATTGGGAATGGGGAGTGCAGAGCATGCACCCGATGGCGCAAGGTGTGTGTCTGCTATTCTTGTACTGTTGCTGAAATTTATGTAGAAGTTCCCCGTTCGATTCGGGGTCGGGTGATTTCTTTTCCTCGTTGCTGTTTCTTTTTTTCTCCTTCTTCTTTCCACCCCTTCATCTCCTGTCCTCTCATTTAGGGTATGGATTTTGTGTTCAATCTTATACTGGGAAACCTTTTCGAAGGCCTGACTGGGGTCTTTGAATATGTGGGCATTCTAGTCGACCAAAGTTCAACTTGACATTCAACTTGAAGGATAAAGCCAACTCAGGATCTCGGAGATCTGTTAGTTTCAGATGAGGGATGCAGAACAAGCACCTGATGGCACAAGGTATCTGCAGGATATGTAGTGGTTGTGGGTTAATGTTATGCAGAAGGGCTCCGTTCGATTCGGGGTCGGGTGATTAGTTTTATCTCTATTTTTTTTTTCCCCTAGACTTTTCAAGGTTATTCCCTTTGACCTCAAATTTTACACAGATAAACTACAAGTGGGGAGTGCAGAGGAAGCACCCGGTGGCACAAGGTGTGTATCTGCAGTATATGACAAGCTATCTATATCCTCTATGCAGAAGTTCCCCGTTCGATTCGGGGTGATGCTTGTCTTTCAACGTATTTTTTTCTTTCGCCCTCTCTGACTCGAATTTTCGTTTTTGTATGTATGTGGGAAGCGTACATAGGCGGAACTTTAGCGGGGGTGTACATGGGTAGGGAGGGAGGTGCGTGGTAGGAAAAGTTGGGAGGCCATTATAATAAATAACTAACAAGAGCGTGCGGCATTAGTTGCTCGTATGGCCACTAGATACAAGTTGATAGTCGTAGTAACAGAGAGAGAGAGCTAAGTGGAGGCTCGGACGCGGAAGTTATGACCTCGAGAGAATTAACGGGGGAATTAGGACGCCCGCGGGTAGAGTGGCTGTTCAGTTTTCTCAGTCTGATAAGCTAATAGATAGCTGGGCTCATTGTAAACGACTCCGGGATTTTTAAGGCAGCAATGAATAGGATTTGTGTCAGAGAATCGGCCGTGTGAGCTGCGAGATTAAGAAGAAGGCTCAGTTGAGTCTCGGCATCCAACCGCTAGACACTTCGATTAATGAGGCCAGAGACATGGGAGAGAGGAAGATGGCAGTACGTCGAGTCACTGGACTGAATCACATGTAGATACGTATCAAGCGAGCGAACGGCTGAGCGCAAGAAGATGTACGAGATAGGTCGGGTTTGAGTCAAGAACTTCGATTGAACGAGCACAGAGACATGGGGGAGCTGGGGGATGATATGTGGTTGACAAGCAGTCAATGAGGACACAAAACACGCCAGCTGGCGCGATGAATAAAGTTTTAGCGAAGAGGGTTAGATGGTTCATTAGTGGCGCCGGCGCCGGGGACAGGACCGGATGTGGGATTTCCCCTCGGGAGAGCAAGCAGCGAACAGCGAGCAAGGCAGCGAGAAGGGGCGACGTTGGCGGATGGTTGATGAGAAATCCAGGGGCACCCGACGAGGCCAGAGCGGTTACAGCACGATGGGCGTTGTGGTAAAGAAAGGACGAGGCGCGGGAACTAGTCTAGTCGCCGATACAAAATCTCTCCCTTCATATTGCTTGCTCGACGCGCAGATGCATACCCAGCAGCAAACCAACAAAGTCCCAAGATAAATGCATTGCAAAGGAATCCCCGGGACTTGCATGGGTAAAGCGAAGAGCAGGCGCCCGACACGTGTGGCCTGGTCCTTATTATAAACCGCGTTGCAGCAGCAAATGGAATCCGCTTGACGCCCTTTGCCTAGCTGCTGCTTGGCTCCAGCGCTCATGGCGTCCACAACCCGCGTCCGCCGCAAACCCGCCCCCGCCATCGACCCTGACGACGCCGCCCTCCTCGCCGCCGTGGACGATGACGGCGAGCGCATCTCGGCGTTGCCGCCGCGCCACTCGTTCGCCCTCTACGCCGCGACGTCGAGCGCACACCCGCACTACACTCGGCGCCGCGCGCAGTCCTCCGCCCCGCCGTCACCCTCCCCGCCCAGCGCGCCGCCGACGCCGACGCCGACGCGCCTCGCGCGCCTCCTCCTCCCGCACCATCCCACCCGCCGCCCTCGCCCACCCACGACCTCGTGAGGAAGCACACGATCTCCGTGCCCGCGCCCGCCGCGTCCCCCCCCGCGCTCCTCCCCCGGGCCTCGCTGCTTTGGCTCTCCCGCCGGGGCGGCCCGCTCGAGCTCAACACACGCGCGCCTCCCGCTCGTCCAGCCCAGCGGCGTGCACATCCCGTTTGGGGCGTTGTTAGGCATGAATGTTACGTCTCTGGCTTTTATAACAGGTAGCGAGCCCGACTCCAATGTCGATGCTGGTAACGCCTCAATACCGAGGCGGGCGGCGCGGCCACGCATACCCGCGAGTCGGGGGCGAGTATCATAGCGAGCACCAAGCGCCGCCGCACGCTCGTCGTCTACCTGCGCCACTTCTGCAGGATATACATTCCTGTGAACAGTTTATGCAGAGGGTCCTCGTTCGATTCGAGGTCGGGTAGTGTACTCTTCGCGCACCTTTTTTCTTCCCCTCCCTCTGTTTTCTCCCTTTTCTTGGCTTACTCAGAATCGAGGGCGTGCGAGCACTAACTTAATTCTTATTACTTTGGAGCACGGTTAAACAGGCCCGCGCAATTCACCATAATTGAGTGCAACTTGAAATTTGATCGTAGTTCGAGGTTTGCTCCAGAAGTGCACCAGGTAGGTCAAGATTGGGGACATAGAATATACACCCGATGGCGCAAGGTGTGCGTCTGCTATGTTTGAAGTAGCTCCTGTGAAGCATTTAGCAGAAGGGCCCTGTTCGATTCGGGGTCGGGTGATTTGGCCTTAAGACTATTTTTCATTCCTTTCCGTTCGTCTCTTGGGCTCGATTTTCAGGACGCAAAATACTTGCTTCAGTATTTACGACAGCTCGGAACGAGGTTAAGAATGCTCGAACAGTGTGAGCATTTTCTATTTAGTTCAACCAAGTTCAACTTCAAATTTGATCGTGCTTCGAGATTTCTTCAGAAATGTACCAGGTAGTCCGAGATTGGGGCTGTGGAGCATGCACCCGGTGGCACAAGGTGTGCACCTGCTACTCTTTCGAAAATTTGATTCAAAGTTAGGCAGAAGGGTCCTGTTCGATTCGGTTATGGTTTTGTTGTTCTTTTTCTTAACTTTTTTCCTAAGTCTCTTGGCTTGTGTTCGGGCCGTAGAGCGTGCGAGCGGTGATTCAATTGTTGTATTTACTATTTTGAAGCACGGTTAAACAGACCCGGGCAGTTCATTCGATTTGAGTTCAGCATGACATTTTGATCGTGCTTCGAGAGGTATTCGAATTCAGAAGTGCACCTATTAGTCTGAGATTGGAGATGGAGAGCATGTACCTGATGGCACAAGGTGTGCATCTGCAGCATATATACGAGTTATGGTCAACGTTATGCAGAAGGGCCCCGGGGTCGGGTGATTTAGCCTCAGGATTTTTTTCTTGTTTTCTCTCTTGGGCTTGGTTTTCAGGACGTAACATCGGCGACTCCCTGATTATAACATCGGCGACTCCCTAATTATCACTACAAGTCGGAACAAGCTCACAGTGTGCGAGCATTAATATTTTTAGTTCAGTCGAAGTTCAACCGAAGAATTTGAGGTTTACTCCTTAGGGAGTAATGGTTAGTCTGAGACTCGGGGCATCAGGCAAGCACTCGGTGGCACAAAGTGGTGTGCGTCTGCAAGTCTTAAATTGGGACGAATAGTTATGCAGAAGGGCCGCGTTCGATTCGGGGTCGAGTGATGGTCCTGCGATCGCGTTTTTTTCTTTCTTTTTCACGCTCGGTTTCTCTTCTGCTTTCAGTGACGACTCGCTTTTGCTGGGAATTTAAAAATACAGCTGCTAAATAATAGAGGAGCTAAGAGCGTCGCAGCGAGTCGTGGATTTGTGGCCAGAGTTGATTTCATTTTATTTTATTCTTGAAGCTCAAATTGACCTGTGCAACTGGGAATCAGCCACAGGTGTCTCTGTTAGTCCGAGATTGGGGATGCAGAGCAGGCACCTGATGGCACAAGGTGTGCGTCTGCTACGCTTGAAGCAGCTTCGAAGCATTTAGCAGAAGGGCCCTGTTTGATTCGGGGTCGGGTGATATGTTCGTAATGTTCCTTTTTTTTCGTGTTCACCTTTCCATTCGTCTCTTGGGCTTGGTTTTCAGGACGCAAAATCGGCGACTCCCTTACTCGGAACGAGGTCAAGAATGCCTTAACAATGTGTGGGCATTTTCAGTTCAATCGAAGTTCAACTTGACTTTGATGAAGCCAACTTGAGTACTCAGAAGTGCACCAGGTAGTCCGAGATTGGGGCCACAGAGCATGTACCTGATGGCGCAAGGTTTTCATCTGCGAGTTATAGATGAACTATAAAGCTAGGCAGAAGATTCTCGTTCGATTCGGGGTTGGGTAATTTAGCTTCGGGATTATTTTCCCCTTCTTTTCCGTTCGTCTCTTGGGCTTTGTTTTCAAGGGGCGAGAAGTCAGATTCAATTCCAGTATACAGCTCGAACGGGTTAAACTGTCCCCTCGATGTGTGGGCAATTCACTCGCAGATTGAGTTCAACTTGAAATCTAATCGTGCTTCGAGTTTCATTCAGAAGTGCACCAGGTAGTCTGAGATTGGGAGTGCAGAGCAAGCACAAGGTGTGCATCTGCTACTTGTGGAGAATGACTGAACTCAGTTTAGCAGAAGAGCTCCGTTCGATTCGGGGTCGGGTGGTGCACTTTCCGGTTATGTCTTTTTTCTTCCTCTCCTTCTTTTTCTTCCCTTCATCTCGTGTTCTCTCATTTGGGGTATGCTACCTGCATAATAGGGAAATTCCCCGAAGGCCTGACTGGGGTCTTTGAATTTTAGTTCAACCCAAGTTCAACTTGATATCGATGAGGCCGACGTTGGATGTGGGAAGGGTGTCTCTTAGTCTGAAATTGGGGGTGCAGGGCAAGCACCTGATGGCACAAGGTGTGCGTCTGCTACTCTTAGAAGGTCGTAAACCATCTTAAGCAGAAGAGCCCTGTTCGATTC